CGATTCATTGCCTGAGTGAACGTCCGAACGAATCAAACTGAATCACGAACCTTTTTGCAAACCCGTTTGACCGATTAGATTGATAGTGATTCATTCACGAATCACTAGTTCTGATTCTAAACAGATGATAAAAGGTGATTATGAAAAATAGCCCATATCTCAGGTCTAGATTCATCAGCGAAGCCTCTGGTTAAATCAAAAGTAGATTGATCCTGATTTTCCTCAATTCACAATGATCAAATGAGAAGGAAGAGGTGTTTATTTCTATGGTGTAAATGTGGAGGGGTTTGCTGTAGAGAAACAGAGCACAAACACACAGTGGAGCTGAATACTAAGTGTCAAAGATGTGGCTCGGTTGCCATGACCTCTATCAGGACTTCAGGCATTCAGACTGTACGAATCAAGAGAATGCACTCCCTGGAGACTCTCCAACCTGAACTGCAGCAAAACCCTGGACTGGAGAAACGAAAAAAAAAAAAAACCCACTAAAGTATGGGATGATATTAGACTCAAAATGATTAATAGATGCACGCACAATTATCCATGTACTGCATACATTTTATACATGTATCTTACTAACCACAAACAAATGCCTTTCAATTTGAGTCTGTGGAATTCGGGATTAAATGATTGTGCAGCGATTTGTACAAATACAGACATGTTTGTGAATAAAAATGTTCTGTTCTGCATTAATATATCATAAATTGCTCATGCAAAAAGGAATCCGTGCATAAGTGGATCAGGTGACACGCGTGCATTAATTGACGTCTAGTTCGAGTCAATCTTGTTGAAAAGTTCACTACACTGAAACAAATGCTTTTCAACCGGTGTCTGCAGAGTTAAGAATTACATTAATGTGCAGCATTTTGACGAGCTGTGTGTGGATTGGTCAAGGCTAAAAGGGCGGAACGAAAGTCTCAAAATTCAATGAATCAAATAGCATCAACTCAGAAGAGACGTGAATGAATGCACGTGCGTCGCCTGATACACAAATGCACATTTTAATCGCTACATGCACAAATCATGATACTTTAATACAAACTATAACATTTGTATTCACAAATATGTCTCTATTTGAACAAAATGCTGCACATTATTGTAATTCTTAACTCTGTATATATATATATATAATTACTGATAATAATGAGACTATAATGAAAATAACCAACAATTATGAAAATCACAAATGAGACAAGTAAGCTATGTGGTTTGAAGTGTAATATCAGATGAGTGTAATAATGAAGTGTAATAGTCAGTTGAGATTCATATTGTACAATTATGCAAAAAAAAAAGTGCATGTTCATCTTTAAAATTTACTAATTTTAAAACCAAGATTACACTTCAAAACTCATATGTGAGTGTGTGTGCATATTGCTTTCTTTTTGACCTTTTATAAGAAAGGTAACATATATAGGGTTATATGAATAAAAGATGAATCTTACTTTTTTGTTAGCATTTTAATGTACATTAATGATCTGTACATTCATGATCCTTATGTAATTAAAGAATGGTTGTTACAGTTACATAAAACTGGAAGAATATTACTATATGCAAAAACACAACAACCAGTGTATAAATCAGAAAAATCAGCATTTACCTGTTTGAGGATGTCCTGAGCACTACAGGAAAGTCTTCACAGCAGCATGAGATGCTGTTTCAGAGTTCACCGAGTGAAGAAGCGAGTTCGTGGAGAGATCAGGCCGTCGCTCTGTAGAAGCACTATCATGTGAGGATCTTCTGTTTGCCAGAGCAGAGCTGATGAGCTGAAGGAGCGCAGCGCTTCTGTTTCTCTCTCCACAGCAGCTCACGGCTTACATTCAGAGCCCCAACTGATGTTCAGAAAAAAAATGTCCACGAACGGAATTCACATGGAAAGGCTGTGGCTAAATAGCCTCTTTTTAACTCTCTCTCTGCCTGAGGGAATCCTCACACAGCTCTGACAGAGAACACGAGGCCAAAAACTAACACGGCGCATTGAGTTTGACAACCGAGAGGCTCTTTAAAGCACTAAACCAACAGCAGGCCACAATCCCAACACAGCATGAATGCAATGAAAGCAAAGCTCTTACCAGAGCACGTTTCCCCATTTACACACGCTTCAGATTTAACATTCAACCAGTAAGTTGTCAGGTTGACCAGTGATTATGGAGAATGACTGTAATAGTTTGATTAGTCTGCAGATCTTAATGTCTGACAGGAGTCAGTGTACAGTTTGCCATGAACACATTCCTATTCTTGCTGATAGCAACTTTTCCATGTCTAAGATGGATTTACTTTGAAACTAATTTTAACTAAGAAATTGCTATTTTACAGATAATTACAAAGGAACTGCATGCATATACACACATATATATATAATTTTAAAATAGCAATTTCTTGTCAAACGTACTCCAATAATCTGTTTTATTTACAACTGTATACATCTATCTATCTATCTATCTAGTATATAATATACAGTATGGTTGCCGATTATATTGTAAAATCTGTTATTATATCTGCATACACCTCTGAAGTCTCTGTTGTCATGTAAGAGCGAGTCACTGAGTGTACAGTTTGCCATGAACACATTCCTATTCTTGCTGATAGCAACTTTTCCATGTCTAAGATGGATTTACTTTGAAACTAATTTTAACTAAGAAATTGCTATTTTACAGATAATTACAAAGGAACTGCATGCATATACACACATATATATATATATAATTTTTAAATAGCAATTTCTTGTCAAACGTACTCCAATAATCTGTTTTATTTACAACTGTATACATCTATCTATCTATCTATCTAGTATATAATATACAGTATGGTTGCCGATTATATTGTAAAATCTGTTATTATATCTGCATACACCTCTGAAGTCTCTGTTGTCATGTAAGAGCGAGTCACTGAGGATTACATGGAAATTCCTTCAAAGTAGATTTATAATAATAAGCTCCAACAGTCAAATACCTCAAAAATCCCTTCTATACTGCACCGAACATCCCAAAGTAGGCTACAGCATGACTGAATGACTTCTACATAATGAGGAAATAATGATAAAAAAAGAAGTCTCACAGGAGCTCAGTATCATTTTAATTAAACTCAAAATGAGGATTATATTATCATTGCTTTTAATTCCACCTCAGGACATGTATAAGGAGGGTGTGTTTTTGGTGTATTATGTCCTGTGCTCTGGGTTTAAACAGAAGCCTGATAATCTCAAACAGATTGCTGTCCTGCTGCAGGGTCCTTTGATAGTGTTTGCACACATCTCTCAGGGTGTGTAACATACCAGACCACCGCTTGCGTTCATAGAAACCAGGGGTTTCCACCTGTGCAAACCCAGCAAACCAATAATAAAGATCCCCAGCACTTTATAACATTCCATCAAGTATCTTTATTGCATGAAATAATGGTTTTCTTTAATTAAATTCAAATGAAACATCTTTCTATTTTCTTTACAGACCCCCTCCAAAACCACTAGGCTTAAATTTAAATGCTTAGCAAAAGTTTTCATCCCAAAATAATAAACATTCTAAGAGTTGAAGTGAATTTTCATCATAGTTTTCATCCATTCTCAGAAGTCTAAATTAAATAGCATGTTCAATTTAGTTTTTCAGTGTCTTCTTTTATGTCACGTTTGCATTTAAGCCGTTTATTTTTATGAGAGCCTGGTGAAAATGCGTATAAATAGTACGCCAAATAAAAACAAACACTCGTGGTACTGAAATCGCAAAAATGGACTTTGCCGTGCATATGATACGCAGTTTTCGCGTACATATGATACGCATCTACCCCACAACCCTAATCCTACACTGTAAAAAAAATCTGTGACATTTACGGTAAAATACCGGCAAGCTGTGGCTGCCAGAAAAAAACTAAGAAACAGTTATTTAAACGAAAAAACTAAATATGAAGTGTCATGCAGGCAATTCTGGGAATGTCAATTTACAGTTTTTCACTGTAAATTATACAATGACTTTTTCTTTTTCACCTCCAAAAACCGTAATTTTAACAGTATTTTACTGTAAAATGTAATTACAGTTATCCACCGTATATAATATAGAAACTTACTGATAACCAATTAACAGGTTTTTATTGTAGCCTTTTTACAGTCTTTTACTGTTAAAATCACAATAATTTTTTACAGTGTACCCATCGCGTAGCATATACACGCCAAAGTCCATTTTTGCATATCAATACCACGAGTTTTCATTTTTATTTGGCGTACTATTTATACGCACTTTCATGAGATCGGGTTGTTTTATGAACACTCGCATACACAACTGCTTTTGATACCAAAACAATAATTGTGATACCAAATGCAACTTTTAGACAAACGCTTTTTTAGACTAGCTGTAATATCCACCTTATTTTTCAGCATGGAAGTAAGCCATGTCTCGTGAATGGGCGAGCCTAAAGATTGTTGCCATACATTTAACAAGAAAATGCTAGTTCAGCCTTTCTACTCAAAATGTCATGTTTGATCCATGTCACTTGTTTCTTTGTAGCCTAATTCTTTGTGAAGTTTACTAGCAATTTCTGAGAGAAAATGACACCGATTACACGGAGAAAAGTTTGATGTAGAAACATTTTCAGTCAAAATTAACTACAAAGAAATGGTGAGTAACACTGAGTTAGAGTAAAAAATCGGAACCAGAAAAACGGAAATCGTATTATTTAAATTTTTTTGCAAAACACAAAAAGTAATATCTTTGTTTTATTTACAATTTTGACAAATATTTTTTGGTAAATAACTAGAAGAATAACAAAGTGCATTAAACGGTAAAACTTTGCACTACAAATGAGTGTTTATGATTACGATAATAAATATGATAAATACCAGTTTGCAAAATAGCTAGAAAGCTAAAAATAACTAAACAAATTTTGTCCGCTCTTACGTTAAAAATAAGATGGACAAAGTCACTTTTAAATAGTTACTTGACCCTGAAATAACTGTCAAGTACAACTGTAAATCGCAAATGCAAGCAAGTTCATAAAAACACAGCCACACGTGCTCCTTTTGTCATTACATGCATTTATTTGAGAGGGAAAAGCCATACACATCTCTTTGTGTTTACCAGTACGGTTTGATTAATTTAACAGGTCATTTTAAAAATTACTAAAAATAAAGCATAACAAACATGGGGTTGGGGGGCAGCACAGAAGTGTTGATTTCAAGGTCAAAGACAATCTGGATGTAGAGGCAAAGCTTCTCTGAAGCCTGGCAGATAGACGTCAGAGTCGACATCAACCAGACGTTGAGAGAGAGAGAGCAACTGAAAAGCACCAACCACAGAGCCAGGAATGGTGGGAAGTACTACACTGATCAGCTCAAGCCTCGCTTCAATGTCACAAGCTTCTCGTTTGCCCTAAAATCACACGTTAGTCTGACGATGGCGACGTCTCTCGAGGTAAAGTGTAGTCTCTAGTGTCTCCAGCGGCAGTAGCTTCACACAAGCGTAGTGTTTTCTTCATGAAGTCTTGTGCTTGCACTCCTACTGCCTTCATTTCACGCCCAAACACACACCCGATTTACATAATATACTCCAGCCCTATTTATATAAATCAATCCACAGTGCCCCGCCCCTTTCCCAAACCCCCACCAATCAAAATAGGAAAACCTTAAACTTAATATTTGCTCTTTATAGATCTGAAAATATACACCAAAGGGGGGGAAATCCCACAACAACAGCTTAAAAAAAAGATGGGGAACACGAGGAGGAAAATAAACTAACAAATAAATCACACAGCAGACTCAGGTTGTTTAAAATAAATACAAACTGATTTAGCAAAGCAGCCAGAGTAAAGAGCTGAAAAAAGGTTTAAAGGCAAACGTGTCGTGTCCTGTCTTCGGATGGGAACGTACGGTGACACAGGGTTTTACCGATGGAAGACAGAATGAGTGTTTAGAGAGTGAAAATTGTACAATTCATTCGTTCGCCGAGGACGAAGATGTCCGAATCATTCAGATGACTCGCTAAATGATTGTGCCGCACATTCACGCACAAATCAGATGCCTTCAGAAGTGCTGGTTGATGAAGGGAACCCGGTGAGATCGGAGATCAGAAATGGGGGTTTGACTGATTCCTGAGCAGCAGGAATGAACGGAAAGCAGATCTCACTTTGGTGCAAGTCTTTTTTTTTGTGTTAATGAGACATTAATAACGACAAACGCACACAGAGACTCGCAACAACGTCCGCCCGCTTGACGATATCTGAAAGCCAAAACCAATGAAACGGCTTCGCATGTTCCCGCCGGTCAGTCTCTGTGCTGCATTATAACCTCCAGTCCACCAGGGGGCGGCGGAGAGGCGCCACAGTCGACAGCGTAACAGGGAGGAACAGAAGGAGGTCAGCGAGTGTGCGTTTCTCTGCATGGGCGTCTTTGGTAACTGGGAACATACAACTTTACGGCAAATGTTTAAATCACAGAAGAGATGAATTTCCTAATTTCAATAAAAGCTGGACACTGGAAGGAGGGCGAGTCCTCTGTGTTCTGTTGCAACATTTGGAAAATTTGTGGTAAAGACACGAGAAAGATGGAAAAAGACCCGAGGAATATGAGCGGATGCCATGTGGCGAGAACAAACCGGCCCTTCTGATTCTCTGCTTGTGTGGATCCTGGGAAGAGACAAAGACAGGTTAACTTAACCTACTAGACTTACTTTAAAGCACACTGGCTAGTTATTATTCCAGGAAATCCTTCATAAACACGGGAATTTCCTTGCATTACCTTGGTTACAGCATTACGGTGCATCTCTGCTGGTGTCCAGACTGGCATCAAGGAGAAGCTCCTCTAAATCCTGCCCACAGCTCAGCTCTGCTGTCACGCTCACTGACACACACACACACACAAATACAAACACAAGAATCATATCACATATAGTCTTTGTGCTTTCACTATATTCATAAAGTCCTGTTCACAGCTCAGTCCAATACGAGTAAATGATGCAAAAGCATCAATATTTCACCAATGTTTGAGCTCAGAGTATGAGTTGCATGTGATAAGATGAAACAAACTAAAGTAAACACCTGTTCAAACCCACACAAATGTTCAGCACAGAGATTTAAAATGTTTATTACACCTAACATTAGCCTTGGTGTGAACAATTAATAGTAAGAAAACCCTTCTTTCTATTTAATTGTCTTCGCAAGCTGCATGCAAAAAACATACAACGTGACCAGCATAGTCTGATTCACCAGAAATCAGTAATGATGAGTATATATTTTTTCAATAACCTAGAAAGACTCAAATTAAAGTGTTATTGTTTTGCATCTTCCACCGAATGAACAGCTTCTGAGCAAACTCACTTAATTTCAATACAAATTCAGGTGTTACTGGTTTGAATTGGCCAGATGAATCTTCAAATGAATGAACTCTGAATGAACTTCTCTGAATAAAACATGACTCATATATAAACTGCAAGTTATTATTACTTTCAGTGATGTGTGCTTTGAAATCAAGTGAGTGCACAGTAGATACACATTTACAACACAGATTTATTTAATAATAAATGATATAAATATATTTATATCTTTTTTTTTTCCATGAATCACGCAGAAAGACTCACAAATTCAGGTGTTATTGGTTTGAATCAGCTTGATGAATCTTTAACTAAATGAGCATTTCTGATTAAAAATGATTCAAATAATTACCTGCATGTTATCGTTACTTGATATCAGTCTCGAAACGAAATGCGCCGTTAAATATACAAAATTGCAATAGTGATTTTTAAAAATAAATCATATAGAGAACATGAGCGAGTTCAGGAATCACTCAGACTCAGGCATTATTGGTTTGAATCAGCCTGTTGAATCATTCAAATGAATGTGTTGAACACAGCAGGATCTACTTGGGACATTGTTCCTCCTGACCTCATGACAATCTCCTTCACTCTATTATACCAGTAGAGTGAAGCATCGGCCAAACCATACACACACTTTTTAAGCTTCCATAGTTTTCCTTCATTGTTGGCTTTAATAATAAATGATATAAATATATTTATATCTTTTTTTTCCCATGAATCACGCAGACTCACAAATTCAGGTGTTATTGGTTTGAATCAGCCTGTTGAATCATTCAAATGAATGTGTTGAACACAGCAGGATCTACTTGGGACATTGTTCCTCCTGACCTCATGACAATCTCCTTCACTCTATTATACCAGTAGAGTGAAGCATCGGCCAAACCATACACACACTTTTTAAGCTTCCATAGTTTTCCTTCATTGTTGGCCTCAGGAGCAGGTTTGATATAAAGGTCACGGGATAGCTCCATTCCCTGTAGAAATGCAGATTTTATATCCATGGAGTTAAGTGTCCACTGTCTTTGACAAATCACTGCCACAAGAAGCCGAAGAGACTCTGAAGCACATGTTGGTGAGTCCTTTTTGAGTTCTGACACCTCTAGTTCTTCGAAACCTCTAGCAACAAGACGAGCTTTGGGTACAAACCCCTTCAATGTCTCTTTGTAGGTACAAACCCACCTAGTTGAAATGCACTTTTGTCCCTCATCCTTCACTTCTTCAAAGACATGGTTATCTCTCCAACTCTTTATCTCTTCCTGTTTTGCAAAGTCAAATGTTACATCTTTTGTTACATACACATCCTCACATACATCAATGGAGTCAGCATTAGTAACAGTGGATTCAATCTGAAGATTCTCAACATTCAACATGTCAGCAGACTCTGTACTGCCTGCTACATTAGTGGGCTCAATGAGCAACAGGTTAAACCAGTTTTTATATTTACCTGTAGCTTTACCTGCACGCCCTAAGATTTTAGCTGTGCACAAAACACCTTTTTCTTTATCTCTGTATTTTACAATTTGTCCTGTTTTGTAAGCTGACAACAGTTTCCAGGTTAGTACCACTAGGTGTCTCTGTATTGTCACTTGTGTGCTGTTCTGCTTCATTCTGCCCCCTTGTGTCCTCCATTTGCCTCACCTCTTGTTGCACCTCAGTCTCTGTTTCTTCTGTCAACTGTCTGTTACTTTCAGCAAACTCCTGTCCTTTTTCATTGTCTGCGTCATTTCTACGTCAGTCTTTGTGGCATGTTGATCCTCGCTTTCTGTATTCACTTTTCTCAGTCTGAGACGAAACAAGATGAGCTTGGGGTACAACCCCTTCAATGTCTCCTAGTTGAAATGCACTTTTGTCCCTCATCCTTCACTTCTTCAAAGACATGGTTGTCTCTCCAACTCTTTATCTCTTCCTGTTTTGCAAAGTCAAATGTTACATCTTTTGTTACATACACATCCTCACATACATCAATGGAGTCAGCATTAGTAACAGTGGATTCAATCTGAAGATTCTCAACATTCAACATGTCAGCAGACTCTGTACTGCCTGCTACATTAGTGGGCTCAATGAGCAACAGGTTAAACCAGTTTTTATATTTACCTGTACGTAGTTGCTTCCGTAACGCTCTGCGAATTCTCTCGGAGCACTCTGCTTCCGTAAAAGCCTATCTTGATGCATGTGAAGCAGAGATGTGTCTTGCTACCCACTGACTCTTTGTGGTACCCTCTAGAGCTGGAGGTTTCTCAATCTGCACAGATGGTAAATTGGGATTCTGGCCAAACACTAGCTGATGAGGACTGTAGCTGTGGACACTTTGCACAGTATTCTTTGCCATAAGAGCCCAGTCCATCACAGTATGCCAATCACAACCATTACTAGTTTTCACTTTCATTATGATTTCAGTGAGTGTTTGATTGTGTCGCTCCAGAAGTCCATTGCTCACATACATCAATGGAGTCAGCATTAGTAACAGTGGATTCAATCTGAAGATTCTCAACATTCAACATGTCAACAGACTCTGTACTGCCTGCTACATTAGTGGGCTCAATGAGCAACAGGTTAAACCAGTTTTTATATTTACCTGCAGCTTTACCTGCACACCCTAAGATTTTAGCTGTACACAAAACACCTTTTTCTTTATCTCTGTATTTTACAATTTGTCCTTTTTGTAAGCTCACTCTCTTGTAGTACTCTTTATTACCCATTTTATATTTCTCATCGGTGTGACGTAGTTGCTTCCGTAACGCTCTGCGAATTCTCTCTGAGCACTCTGCTTCCGTAAAAGCCTTTCTTGATGCATGTAAAGCAGAGATGTGTCTTGCTACCCACTGACTCTTTGTGGTACCATCTAGAGCTGGAGGTTTATCAATCAGCACAGATGGTAAATTGGGATTCTGGCCAAACACTAGCTGATGAGGACTGTAGCTGTGGACACTTTGCACAGTATTCTTTGCCATAAGAGCCCAGTCCATCACAGTATGCCAATCACAACCATTACTAGTTTTCACTTTCATTATGATTTCAGTGAGTGTTTGATTGTGTCGCTCCAGAAGTCCATTGCTCCACGGACTATATGCAGCTGTTGTTTGTATTTCTATGTTGAAGTTTTCTGCCATATCTTTCACCTCATCATTGTTAAATTCTCCCCTATTGTCGCTGAACAGTTTCTGGGGTGGGCCATATACGCTTATCCAGTCATGGAGGAAATGTTTCACTATTTCAGAAGATCTCTTTGTGGTCAGAATGCTGCCTGCACTAAAGCGAGTAAACTGATCAATGATATGGAGATACCACACGCCTGGCTCAAGTTCATGCAAATCTACAGCCACAGTTTCGTTGTACTGCGATGCCAGTGTCAGGCCAACAGCAGGCTTTAGTTTAGCTTTACTGTGTTTTTGGCATACCTCACACTCACTCACAATTTTTTGCAAGATGATGCTGCATTCTGTATCTTTATTTCCTGAGCTGTTAAGAAGTCGCTGCATGTCCGAATTGTTTGTGAAGCTTCATCAGGATGTTACGTTTTTCTGCTGAGCTCATTTTATCCGAGATTATTAGGATTTCATTCTCATCCTCATTCCTTTCCTCTTCAGCAGTTGCCAAGATCTGCTCACTACATTGCATGTCTTTAGGGCTACTTTCGTTGCCCATTATGTTTACACAGTAACGACCAGAGCTTGTAAACACAAGTTCTACAGGTTGATTAAACATTTCTGCTCTGTCATTTTTCATGTCTAATACTGTTCCTGCTCTTTTCAAGGAGACTTTGCTTAAGAGCAATGGAATGTTAGCTGGGACATCCTCAGTCTCAATTTTGCACTTGATCTGTCCAATTTTTGCAGGAATTTTCTACTTTCTGTTGGAATGGACCACTTTTCCATCTCCAAACCTAAATGGTCTATGGCTTTGTGTTTCTGTCTTCCTCAAATATGTTGTCTCCTTTTGACTTAGCTCAGTGATGTAGTGATTTAGCCATTCTTGTCCACAGTGCATGCAGTGTCTATTATTGCAGATCCAAAACATTCAGTCATAAGGATTTCTGCTTCAGAGTGTAATTCGTCTGTAAACAGAGTAATGTTGCACTCCTCTACATTAGTCTCTTTACAGTCCTCAGTCAGTTTGATTTGCTCACCTTTGTGTGGGCAGTCCTTGGCCCAGTGGAATGTACTTTGACACACTGCACATTTTGATCTGCGGCCATCCTCTGCTACCAATGTTACTCATCAAAAGACAACTGTTTTAAACTTAATGGAAAACTCCCTTTATTCGACTGCAACCATAGCCGTTCACAACAACATAACAATACCGGAAGCAGCGATCTCCCCCCCCATAAGAGTCCTTACTTCCTCTCAGTGTACTATATGCAAACTTCTATTCAGAACCCTAGGCAGATAGCACAGAAATATTACATGTATACAAAAATCAGAATGTATAACCATGACTGAAACTTAACAGAATGAACTCTGAACGAATGTTTCTGAACAATCATAACTCACTTAATGAACTGCATGTTATCATTCCTTCAAGTGATGTCCATCTTGAAATGAATCAAGTGTAGTTAAATATGCAGCAGAGATTTTTCAGTAATAAATGCAATTTTTTAAATAGAAAATGAGCCAGTTTTTCATGAATCACTCGGAAAGTCTCCTAAATTATTGGTTTGAATCAGCCTAATATTTCTTACACTGAATGAGCATTTTTAAATAAATATGACACTTGAACTGCATGTTGATATCATTACTTTCAGTGATGTCCATTTCAAAATGTTTAGAGAAGGTATTCATACAAAAAAATCATGTTTTTTTGTGCATACTATTGTCTGGGAATTAGGGCTGTCACTAACGATTATTTTGGTAATCGGACGATTATTCCGACGATTAATCGAGTAATCAGATCTTTTTTTTTTGTGGTAATAAAAATAGACCTAAGCGAAAAATAGACTTTAAAACGACTTAAAATACTTATATAATAGCAATGAGGTGATAAATCAAATACAATATAATAGCAATGAGCTATTATTATAATTTATGAAATTATATTTGATTTTTATGAGTTAATTTAGACGTAATGCACGTTTTTATAGAGTTACTTCCTTGCGTTGACAATTTAAATGTGCTGCATTATTTTGCTCGTTGCGCCCTCTTGTGGCCTCGGGAGACAATTAGACCTATACAATAAAGACC